GAGGTAGGCAACGGTTTTGGCTGGAGTGTCGAAAAAACCTGTGATGTCTACCTTGTAAGGTCCTAGAGTGCTGGTGTGTCAGAAAAACAAAACTGGGGTGGGGGCTACATGACAGGATGCACTGCATATTAATACAGTTAATAATCATAAATGTTGCTTTTTTAACAGTAAATACCAGGTTTTCTAAAAAGTCTAAACCTGGTAGCAATAAATAAAACTTCATGAATTACCTTTGTTCTCGTGTATTCTTTTTTGTTAAGCATGTTGTGATGAGAGAGGGGGGAAAATGAGAAAGAGGTAAAGAAAAGAGGGGAGAGAGGAGGTGAAAAGGAAGAGAGAGAAGAAAAGGAAAGGAGAAAGGAAAAAGAGAAAGAGGGTATGTTCCTCACCACTCATGTCTCCCACCGCTACCAGCTGCAGCTTGACCCGTTGGTCCAGGGCAGTGTCTGGTTGAGGGAGGTGGAGATGGTGACACTCTAGCAGCAGCTGCCAGAGCTGGGGCAATTAGGCCTTCCTGACGGTCCTGGAGCAGGGGGGAGCCTGGGTCCGGGGCCATTGTGTGGGGCCCAGTTAGGGCTTGGGCAGATAGACTACCTGTCCCACTCAGGTGAGGGCAGCACCGGGGCGCTGGGCGCTTGGGGCAGGAGTCGGGTGATGGAGGGATGGTGGTGGGGGAGGTGCCAGAGGAGAGCAGGGGCTGGGTGGGAAGTGGGGCCTGCCCTGGGGCTCTGCAGACATGGACTGTGGTGGGTGGGCAGGGGTGCCCAGCGGCACTTGAGGTGGGGCCTGGCCCACACAGCTCCACAGGGATGGGCTGCATCCACCCTGCCTGAGAGGGGATGCTGCCTGGCCAGGGCAGGATGCCGTGCTTGGGGGGCTTCTGGCTCTGGGCTCGGTCTCCCTGCATGCCAGGCACAGCGTGAGTGGGGCAAAGCCACTCTGGTGCAGGGGCCTGGCCCCAGGAGCCCCCTGGGCCCTAGGAACAGCTGCCACAGGTGGCACTTGGGGCCAAGCTAGCTGGGAGCCTGCAGCGCAGCAGCCCTGTATGGCGCCTGCCCCAGCCCCGGTCTCTGGAGGGGATCTGCGAGTGCAAGGCTGGGGTAGCCACGGCAGCTGTTCCTGGAGCCTGGGGAGGCTCCTGTGGCCGGGTCCCCGCACCAGGGGTGGGTCCACCCCACTCATGCTGTGCCCAGCATACAGGGAGGTGGAGCCCCATGAGCTTGGCATCCTGCCCTGGCCAGGCGGTGTCTCCTTATGGGCAGGGTGGCTGCACCCAATCCTCACTGAACTATGCAGGCTGGGCCAAGCCCCGCTTTGGGTGCCGCTGGGTGCCTGAGCCCACAGGGCCCTGCTTCTAACCCGGCCCCGCTCTGCTCCAGCTGCCACCTTCCCAAGGGCCTGGCTGGGCTAGCCTTCCCACGGCGCCTCCCCCACATCTGCCTCTCTCTGTGCTGCCCTGATCATGCCCCAAACACCCAGGCCTGGTGCTCGGCACCCCCATGCTGCCCTCGCCTGGGTGGGATGGGGTGTCCGTCTACCTGAGCCCAGGCCAGGTGCAGGACTTTGCCCACCCATTGGGAGCCTCCAGCGCATCTGCCCTCTGGAGTGCCTGCCTGGCCCTGGCTCTGGTCCTGGCTCTGCCCACCCACAGCTCCCCTCCATGGGCTGGGCTGGGTCAGGTTGGGGGGCATGGCTAGGGTTGCAAACCCTCCCGGATTGGCCGGAAGTCTACCGGAATCGACATCCATCTCCTGCTGATTACTGAAAGCAGTCTTGGAGATTTACATTACATTAGCTATTTAGTTAACATTATGTCGTGTTGGGGAAAAAAAACTCCTAGAATAGCTTCAGTCAGAGTTGGCAACCCTAGGCATGGCATGGGGGCAGCAGAACTCAGACTGTCCTTGCCTGTGTTTTCCTGACTCCACCCCTGGTGCCTGCTGCAGCACTGGCACCTTTGGCTGCTCTGGAGAGATCTGAGCAGCAAATTAAAAAATATATTTTTTAAACAATTTCCTCACACGCTTCCTGAAGTGCCAGGGAAAATGTCTCCACATGCCACTAATTGGCATGCATGCCAGTGGTTACCTATCCTTGCATAAAGCCTTCTTTCATAATAGTGTTTGAATTATATCTTCACCTGAAAGTATTGTGGGACTGGAAAAGGAAACCATATACATATACATATGATTCGATTTGGAGGAGGTTCGGCTTGATTTGGCGGCTTAATCTCCAGAGAGACCAATTAAAAGACCAAGTAGAATCAGAAGCCTCTAAATTGATTTGGAAAAATTCAGTGCCTCTTTGGAGATTGAGCCATAGACTAACAGGCAGCAGACCTCATTATGCTGGACACAGTTGCCTCCAGCTGGTAAGTCGATTGTAGTGGGCGGAGAGGGGAGGGAAGGGCAGGGGCTGGGGCTGGGATAAGCTGCTCAGCCGGGGCGCAGGATATGGGCACAGCAGTGCTGGGAGCAGGGGCTATGCCCTGCTGCCACCTGATCATCTGGGGGTGGGGGGTGAAAATCAATGCAGGCGTAGCTCACTCTGGGTGGAAGGGGGGCAAGCAGCAGCAGGGTATAGCCCCTGCTCCCAGCGCCGCCGTGCCCTTATCCCGCACCCCGTGTCCTGGCTGGGCAAGTGGTGGCAGCACCCACCCCACTCCCCGAGTCCCGAGCCCCCCCATCCTGGCTGGGCAGCTTACCCCAGCTGACAAAGCAACAAACTAATTGTTGCCTTATCAGCAATTAAATTATTCTTTGCTGTCTGACAGAACCTCTAATTAAGCATAAATTGCAGCATAGGAAATTAATGAATGTGAAATGGGAGATAAATGTTATCTCTTGCTTCATTGGATAATGCTCATCTAATATTAGATTTGGAAGCTCTGTCTTCCCAGCTTTAATTTGTCCAGAGAAAAGTTGGTAAAATAAGATCATTCTTTGATGCTATCCAGAAGAATGAGAGTTTTGTTCCTCTTACATATTTTGGCCTCTCTGGTAATTTTTACGGATGATTGCCAGCATGTAACATCTGTATATATGTGTCCTAAATAATAGGGTTGGCAAGTGCAAGGGTTCGCGAAATGTATTACTGAGGTATGTGAGCTTGAGGTTCCATCCATTCACTTGACAGATTGTTTTTAAGATGGCGATGCATGGGGCAGGGAAGTTTGGGAGTTGTGGATCTACTGATCTTCATACCTGCAGGCAGAGATTCTGGATTTGTAGGGCTTACTTGGGGTGCAGGGGCATGGGAAATTTACTTGTCCCAGCCTAAATTTATTCTGATATGAGCTGATATTATTTTTGAATTTAAAAAAAATAGTTGTGGGGGTGGGATTTTTATTGGTATAACCATAGTGGAATAATTTTACTGTAACTGTGTCAGTCAGTTTCCCCCTATATAAGGGCTGTTAATCCAGGTTATAACTTGTCTTGTCATGTGATAGTTGGTTTAGAGGATCTGCTTGCTTATATATAAAGGAGCTACACATGCTGATTCTCTCAAAGGGTTGTTTTAAAGAAAATTACCTATGTCTGACTAGCACCTTAAGTTCCATCACATGCAAATTGGGGCAAAACTAACCAAAATGTAAGTTTACCAGAATCATTGGTATAACAGAATATGGATAATACATGTCGGATATAAATAACTTGATTACAGTTGGCAGAGAATAATGTCCCTCCCCCACCTTTATTTAAGGTAATAATGACTCTACTCCTCCATTTTTGGGGGGATAAGACAATTATATAAATAAATGAGAACTTCTGAGGAAATTGGCCATAAGACTTTCCATTGTATTTTGTATCTTACGTCTACGGAAACCTGAATTTCCTTTGTTCTGAGTGACAGACAACCGAACTTCTGCATGGCACGTGGAGGTCAGTGCTTGGTTGAGACCTGAATGGTAGGAAACTGGTGTCTTAACATAGCGCCACAGATTGATTTAATAGATTTCATAGACATTAGGGCTGGAAGGGACCTTGCAAGATCATTGGGTCCAGCCCCCTGCCCAAGGAGTAGGAAGTCAGCTGGGGTCAAATGATCCCAGCAAGATAAGCATCCAAGTGTTTCTTAAAAGTGTCCAGAGTAAGTGCTTGCACCACTTCTGTGGGGAGTCTATTCCAGGCTCTGGGGACTTGGATGGTAAAGACATTTTTCCTTATGTCCAGCCTAAAACAGTTTTCCAGAAGTTTGTCTGCTGGATCTTGTCTTCCCTTGGGGTGCCCTGGTGAACAGACGTTCTTCCAGTTTCTACAGTCACTGGGTGGAAAAGAGGAGTGAATAGTCTGGAGTAATTTTGAGAGGAGAAAAAAATGATTTATTAATCCTTCTTTCCTTGTTCTTTACACACCCAAGTTAGAGCTGTCTTATCCTTTTGGCAACTCAGGTTTCCCTCTTAAAAAAAAACCCTGTTGTTGAACCAAGACGGAACAGGTGAAAAATTTGCCTGTGCCCAGCCTGCTGTATCAGAAAATGTTAAAAGAATGTCAGAAGTCCTAAATAATCTCCAGTTATTTCAATGTAATAGTCATTATGATCATCCTTACTATTTTAGTTGCTTAAGAGTCACATAAAGAAGACTGAGGTCTTCTTTTTGAAGTAAATGAATAATGGTAATCCTGAAAAACTAAACAAATCTCCCTTTAGATGTTAATATTTAGCACAGTAGGAAACAACCTGACTCAAATCATCTCTTATAGTAGAATTTCTTAGTCCTGGAACATATCATAAGGGGATATGATGCATAAAGATTTACATTTTTTTGTTTTGTTTTTGCATTCATATGATTTGTATAGTTGCAAACTCAAGTGTTGTTGTTCCAATGAGAGGAATGGGGGAAGATGTGGTACATAGTATATATAGTAATTCAGGTTGCTTTGAAGAACTATACAGCTGCTTTTTAAAAATAACCAACCTTGTATTAAAGAAGCAGATGGAGGAAATTATGTGAGAATATCGCAGCTGATTATGTATTTCCCTCTTTGATCTTTCAGCTGATTGCAATGCCGTTCTTAAAGGTCTACAGCCCATTTTTCAACAGCAGAGAATGACGGAAACAATTCACAGCTGGGAAGATCATGGTTACCTAGCAACTTACACCAACAAAAATGGCAGGTAAGTTGGATATTTGTACTCCAGAAACTATGTTCTGATTACAGTGTAAGGCAGTTGGGTACTGTGTTAGACTGCTACAATTAAATATTGTACCTAAAATGTACCCACCCCCCACTTTTAAGGTGTTAAATTGTAAGAATATATTTCTCAGTCATTCTTTTGTTTTACCACCTTTTCCTCCTTTCTTTAATTTTTGTTTCTCTTCTTGGTCAGTTTGTTTCCTGTGGTTCCCCTGTCCCCCCACCACTTTTAACCTCCTTCCTGTCCTGATCCCTACAATACTTCATGTACTTACAAAGTATATTTTCCTATTTCACTTTCTCCTTGCCAAGCATCTTGGTTCCTGTGAAGTTCTTGGTAACCTGCTTCTATCCAGGTTTGTGTGCGTATATGTTTTTCCTCCAATGGGAAGGGTCCTTGGTGAAAAAGAGCTAGACAAGATTCAGTTCAACTCCTGAGTAGAACCATTTTGGTCTGCTTTTACTCCGCTGTACTCAGTGTCTCGGCAGCAAGGACAGGAGAGTCATGTCTTCAGATCTAGGACAGTCTGCCTCAAATTCCTTAGCTTTTCAGATACCAGCTTAATTATTCAACCAGATAGATACTTTTAAATAACCACTTAGATTCTGCAGAATCAAAAGTTCCCCCAAAGTGAAAGTTCTCCATATGTATTTTGGGTGAGTTGTATTTCAAACCCTTTGTTTATATATCACTGCTGTTATGGCATCAGAATCTCAAAGTTTTCCAAAAATAATATTTAACTGAATACATCAAATCCAACTTTAGAACATTGCATAATTTTTACAATAATAGTTATAGTAATTGGGAGGGGAATTAGACAAGAAATGGGAATACTTCTTCCCCTTTATTGTCTTTGTTTTGGCTCTTGAAAAACTTGATTGGTTCTTTGCAAGTATGGTCACTTAAAAATTGACTGTGCACAAAAAAGGTTGCTTATGGTGTGAGTGGGGACCATACGTTCATGTAAACAATGCTAATTGAGATGAACTACCAAACAAAACTATATTCATCTGTTTTATGATACAGAAAAAGATTTTACAGGGTTGTATATATAAGTGGGTTATTCGACATTTCATAGAACCTGTTAAATGAGCTTTACTGTATTTGATTCGTGCCTGAGAATCTGTTAACTTCTATTCCCAAGGATGAGCAAAAGAAAAATCTGTGGAGTCTGAGTAGGATTTTATGCTTTGTGTAGTTTGGTGTGACATTCGGGTCTGCCCCCACTGCCCTCTCACCTACATAGCTATACAGAGCCAGTTGTACTGTACCAAATTACTATCTGTACAGTGTGAAAACATTGTCTTTGGCCATATGAGGTATTCTTTGGTGTGACTCCTTTTTTAAGCAAGGTTAAGTATGGTGGTGTGAAATTGCATTGGTGTAAGCCACAAGCTCTTTATTAATCCATATTAATAATCACATTCTGCAGGAATATAAAATTACTTCTGCATAGGAAAGGCCTTGAATTTGCCATTAGAAGAGATACTGCCTGAACTCTGCTGCGTAGAGGTTTACAAGACTTCAGCTCCCCTTCTTGTAGACGCCTCTCTGCTGAACAAGTTAAAAAAAAATCTCCACACTTTTTCTAACTTTACCTCCCATTAAAACAGCAGTGTTGCTTTACTTATTGGTCCAATATTAGAAACATGAAGGCCTTCTCTAAGCTAGAAGGTTTTCTCTGCATGGTTGAAGTTGTGCAGCTCCCTGGATAGGAAGGGGAATAAGAGACTTTTCTGCCAACATAGTGGTATTCATTTTTGGGTTTTTTGCCTGTAAGAATGAACATATCCTTTAATAAAAATACTATGATAGTAAAATGCTTAAGTGTAGGCTAGACCTTTGGTACTAAATACTTGAGTAGTGAAGGGAGTGGTAGATTGAGGAACAGAGGAAAAGAACTTTCTACGTGTTCCAGGGCAGGAAACGTATTTTTTTTGTCTGAAGCAAGCTTAGACCTCTAGAAAAGTATCTGTGCCCTTGCAGGATCTCTGAGAAAAAGCCTAGTGTTTCTAGTATAAAAGGTCTCCACCAGGCTGCATAATGTACTCGTAAATGAGATTTGAACTTTATTTCTACTCTCCAGCTTAGCTTCCTTGTCAGTTGAAACTGATTTCCACTGGGTTGACCTCAAATCTCTCCTTCCTGTCCTCACTTCTTTTGCTATATTGTACAGTTGAAAAACTGGATTGAAAAAAAAGCTGGTGCATGTGCGTTCTCCACTTCCTGGTTCTTTCATTTTTTCCTTGGCTTGGCTATCTAACTTCCCCAAATGGTTATATAGACAAAGCTAATTAAAGTTAAAAATGAAGAACTGGATTAGAGCCAAATGATTAAAGGGATTCTGTTGGGCTTTTTTCTCATGGGAAATTTTCCTTTAAATTCAAGCAGCACTGTAGTTTCCAATTCCAGTCTGGAATTTGCAAGGTAAAAGGAATAGTTTCCTCAACTTAGTTCTAGATCTTTTTCCTGCCCTCTGTGTGGAATGTAACACTAAGGAAAGACTCTGAAGATGCCACCAGGGAATATAAGATTCCAGTAATGATCCACATTGGATCCCCCTGTGTTCAAGATTTCTGTCTCAAATGTCCCTTTGGCCAGTTACTCGGGTGACCTGAGTGGGAGGGCTCGTCTGTGAAATCTGAACACTGTAAATCCTGTTAAAGACACAATCATACCGGCAGATGATCTGCAAGGATCTTGTCTTGCCAATTCTGCCACAGTCATTTGTACAAAGACTAGCTATGGATATAAGAGCAGTTGAGCCGCCTCTTTTTTTTTTTTTTTTTTTTAAGTCCT